GGGTAGATTCATTAGTGTCTTTGTTTTTTTTTTTAGATTCCACATATAAATATCATATGGATTTGTCTTTCTGACTTACTTCACTTAGAATAATGACCTCCAGATCCATCCATGTTGCTGCAAATTGCATTATTTTATTCTTTTTTATGGCCGAGTAATATTCTATTGTGTAAATATGCCACAACTTCTTTATCCAGTCATCTGTCAATGGACATTTAGGTTGTTTCCATGTCTTGGCTATTGTACATCTATCTTTTCTAATTTGAGTTCCCTCCAGATATATGCCCAGGAGTAGAATTGCTGGATCATACGGTAAGACAGTTTTGAAATGAGAAGAAAAAAAATCTCTCTTCTAGCCATAGAATGGATCTAGCAACGTGGCTGTCTAGTATCCAGCATCAACTCGTAACCCTCCCTGATCTGACACCATCGTATGCGAAGTGTCATCTCATCATTTTCAGTAGCACCTCTGCTTCCCGGGGTCCTAAGGAGAAAGCCTGGGAGAAGGAATTGCTAGAATTCTGTTTCATCTGGTATTCTTCCGGCCAGGAGAGAATAGTATTTCCCCAAGGATGAATTTCTGCCCCTTTCCCGTTCATCTGAAAAATGAGAATCAGGGCCCTGCTGGTTCTCTGTAGATCACAAGAAGGATGAACTTGCTTGTCCCTTTCCTTCACGTGGGATCCCAAGGGCCATGGCCCCTTGAAAACCCTCAACCTTAGCATCAATGTACTCAAGGTCTCATGTTTAAGGGACTACAGACTATGGAGGCTGGAGAGCCGGGGATGGGTAAGGGTGGTGGTCCTGAGTCAGAGCAAAGGCAACGAGGCCTTGGTGCGGTACCTCTCCCCTGTCCGACCTGATCTAATACCCTTGGTCATCTCTGAGGAGTTCCTTAGGAGAACCCGTGACTTCATTCTTACAGTGTATTTTCCCTTCTTAATCCTGGGACATGATTTTGACTTTGGTGATGGCTATTTACCATTGCAGGTGACTTTCAGAGTGAATGAATGTTTGCACACAAGTTGGAACTACAAGGAACTTCTGGTTCAGCCTCCATCCCTTAGGTAAGGAATTTTGATTTGTGCCAGAGACTGGGAACTGTTCTTCAAATATTCACCCAAAGCAACCCCCCTCCTAATATTGCAAACAAAAATAGATCACCCACATGGTCTTCCTGCTCTTAATGTGGCTGTGGGACTAAAGTTTTTCTCCAGTGCAATGTGAGGGAGGAAGGGACCCATTCTGAATGGCCCCGCGTACTCCTCTGTGCTGTCCCTTCCAGCTGACTGGGACCATCACCCCCAGCAAGACCTTGGGAGCCAAGGGTTGGAGGAAGAGTCACTGTGAGCCTGGATCCCTTCATGACTAACTGGGAGAGAGACACCTTACTCACCCCTGTCCCCTGGCTGCAAGTGTGCTTTATTAAAACACATTACTGGAGTCAGGAGATCCTGACTCCAGTAGTTAAATGCTTTATGTGTGCCTTGGTTTCCTCATCTGTAAAATAGCACCAAAGTCCTTACTTCACAGAGGTTTTGAACAAGTAATATGGTACGATGAGTGATGACCACTCATTGTAGTGCCTGGCATTTGGCAAATGCTCAAGAAATCGTGGCTGAATACACGTCTCCGTTCCTGGAGGGTGGTTGTGATATCTCAGTGACATACTCATTTTGAAAAGAGAGATCAACATGGACGCTTGCTGCTGGAAGTGAGAAGATGCTGTCTCAGCCCCTTCCTCCTGCTCATCCCGAGGAGCGTGAGCAGTTTGTGGACCTAGTCACTTGTCCCGGGTGATGAAAGCAGGCTATTGTAGACACGGTGGGATCCATGATAATGGAGAATTCCATCCATTTAATTTCAGGCCCCTTCTCAGCATCTCCCCCAACCCCAAAGCCAAGTGATGATCCTAGGAAACCGCC